AATTTTTGCCTAATAACCAAAATAAACTATCATTTTTTGCCGAATAACCAAAATAAACTATCAATTTTTGCCGAATATCCAAAATAAACTTTTTTCTGCCAAATAACCCGAATTATTTGGCAGCCCGATCATAGTAATCTGACGGATAATAGATGGTATCAATAGATAACTGTTTTTGGTTGATAGTAGTACAAGCTTTCCAATTTGAAAATAGAATATTTAGCCAATTAAATTACGTGTTGAATGCAACAGCGGTAGCTCATCGTATTTTTAAATTTAGCAAATCAGAATACAGGTTCATTAATCATCTGTGCTCGGTTTTATGGTCACGATTAGAGCTGCAGGTACGTACATGTAACGTATTTCAGTACCCTAGCCATGGAAAAGAATGAACTTGTCACGCGATGATCGATAAATTCTTTAAAGTTTATTTATAATCGAATTAATGCTTATATTAGGGTTAGTTTATAGCCGACATATTGTGAAATTCCTCGAGGAAAATTTTTTGTTAGAGCGCAGAAGGGCAAAAATACCATTCCTGATGGATCGTCGGTACTGTTCCTAATAGGGTGGGGAAAAAAATCGATTTACATACCGTTCCTGACAGGGTTCTAAAAAGGGCCTCCAAAATACTATACTACTATAATGAAAAAAGTTAGGATTAAGGTTCGTTTTTGGAACCCTATCAGGAACAGTACTCAAATAACCTTCTTTTTTAGCTCCATCAAGATCGGTATCAGGAATAGTATTTTTGCCGCAGAAGGCGGTTTCTTATGAAAATTTTCGAAAATAAGCGATTTTTGAAAAAACGAACGTTTTTTCCCGATTGTGTTACGTTACACCAAATTCGAAATTCTATTGGCTAATTTAACCGTAGATCATCACGTGACAAGTCCATGGCTAGGGTATTCAACATTTTAATGCCTACGTACGTATGTAGAAGGTATTGCGATCAGTGATTTCCTGTTTGTATATGACATACGTGTAACAAGGAACTTACCAAATTGTATTTAATATATATATTTGGCTAACATTTTAATGCCTACGTATGTAGAAGGTATTGCGATCTGTTTGTATATGACATACGTGTAACAAGGAACTTACCAAATTGTATTTAATATGTCGTGCCCCAAATGACAATTTTCCCAGATGACAATCTGGCCAAAATTATAAACTAATTAGCCCAGACGTTAAGGTTAGATTTGGGCAATTTTAATTTGGGCTGTCCCAATTAGCAATCGGGACAGGATTGTCATTTGGGGTACAACAATTAACAGTTAAGATAACCGAATTATCGACGGATCTAAAATTTACTTACTATATAAACACTGTAATTTCCCCACCTTTTTTTTTCTCCAACAAACAACGCATTTTTTGTTTCTGTTAGTTTATATTATTTTATTTGTTATTATAAAATACCTTTTTTTTCAAATTTTCGTAGCAATATATAAACACTACCATTCAAAAGAAAGAAGGTCAATGGAACGTATGTTTATAGGCCCCTTTAAACAACATTTACTTTGATATTACTTTGATATATATACATATTTTTACTATATATTATCTATTCGTTTCGGATTTCGTCTCGAGACAACCACAATATATATATATATACTTCTTTTCTTGTGCCATAATTTATCCGTCTAGCCACTTTATACGGCCACCTTTCTCCTACGACGAATTATTACTTTTAATTTTTAAAAGAAATTTCCTTGTATGTATAAATAAAAAAACTTGTTATGGTATATGCCATATCGGCGGATCTGCGCAGTCTAATATGTATAGAAACCCATCAGTTACAATTCTGCTCAAAATTGTCGATCATTGGGCAAATTTTAAATTATTTAACTCCAGTTCTGGTCAAGTGATCGACAATTTTGACTGGAATTATAACTGATGGGTTCTTATATTATTAGACTGTGCAAATCCGCCGATATGAGTAGACGTAAAATTATCGTATGCTCCAAGCTGTTATTAATAAAAACTTCATCAATCAAGTTTCTATTACAATATTGCCCATCTATTTTAGCATAAACCTTGGTATGTATTAAGATCATATTAAGTTCTTTTTAGACGCTCATTATTAATTTTGTATACTTTATGCTTTTTTTACACTCATTGTTTTAGTCAATGTTATCTCGGGGACCGTGCCCTTACGCTACTATAGCATGTATTACCTGTCGAAAAAAACATAAAAAATGTTCGGGAGCAGTTACGTGTGCGAACTGTGCAAAATACAATCTTAAATGTATTTTTATTAACTCGGGGAAAAAACGTGGACCGAAACCCAAGTCTAAGGCGTACATCGATCCATATAGTCCGTGTGCACGTGATCATGGACAACCAAATTCGTGTGCACGTGATCATAGCCGATCATATTATGGAATGCAGTTCTCTACAGATTTAATGCAGGCTTACTCACACGAACAAGAAGTTCATCTCATATTATCAGAATATTTTAATAATTTAAATCAAGAACCAAGAACGTCACAGTCTAATAGCTATAATGCTATTACCCAAGAAACAATCTTCTCTCAAGCAGATTTAAACGCTGACCATACCGCAGCTGTAAATAATCAAGATACCATGCAGATTACCTTTATCGATAACATGCCACTTTTATTGCATAATAGAGAACTTTCTAATTTATTAAACAGTCAATACAATGACACGCAATTATTCTCTGTGGACCCTACGCAAGATAATTCTCCTGCACAAAATATTCATAATGTGACATCGGAATATTTTAATACAGTAATTCAAAATCAGCTTAGAACGTCACGGCCCAATGGTTATCATACTACTACTCAACAAACAACCTTTTCTGCTCAAGCAGATTTAAACGCTGACTATACTACAACTATAAATAATCAGGATACTATGCACATTAATTTTATCGATAACACACCACTTTTATTGCATAGTAGAGAGTTATCTAATTTATCAAACAGTCAATTTTCATTCGACCTTCTTAATTCAGACGGTTATCACGTTCATCAATACAATGGAATGCCAGTATCCTTTATAGGCTCTACGCAAGATAACTCTCCTGCACCAAATATTTATTTCACATCATCAGAATATTTTAATAATTCCAATTAAAAATAATTTAGAATTTCATGATCTAGAGTTATAGCGCTACTATCTAAGAAACAAACCTCCTTTTTAATTATAAATGCTAACTTCAGTTTTATATCAATGAAATACAATTTTTATGTATAAATAATCATTTATTACTTAAAGATAGTCAATTCAATTTTCTTTGCTCCCTTTAACAATTGTTAAGTTAACGTAGAGCACCAACATTTTAACAATTCAAGTCAATTATTATTTGACTTTTCCTATTTAAAATACCTCTTAAAGGTTTACTTTTCTCACATATCTACAGCACGGACCATAGTACCCGGTGTGATGCAAAATTTGGCTTAGTGTTGAAAATTTAAAAATTACATGATTTTCGCGTCACGTACGTACATAAATAGTATTTTAAATATTTGTTATACCGGGTATTATGGTCTGTAATTTATACGTATACATGTTTAAGATCACAAGTAAAATTGATTACAAAACCATGTGCAAAGGTGAGTTTTTTTTCTTTACAAAACATAGTGTCAAAATGTTTTTTTTTAGTGCAATTGAACATAACAATGGGATTACGGTTGAAATACATAAACATGTATTACTGAATTTTTGTCCATATAGATTAAGCAAAAGAAATATTCTTGTAACTCTCACATATATATATATATATCTTATTAGTTCAAATAAAGGAATTTTATTATTTGACCAATAAAACACCTAATACTGTACATTAGAGTGTTATTTGTAGACTATCATATAATAATATCATAATTCGTACTTATTTTCAAGTTTTTGATTCAGATTTTAATTTATGTTGTATTTTATTAAAGTTAGTCAATTTTATTAATAAAATTAAAATTTCAGATTTCCATTTAGCCTGAATTAAATTTATACTAACCAATAAACAAAAAATTAATACTGTAGTTTAGATATACTTAGAGATGAATTTTTTGCTTCTTGATTTTGGTAGAACACCATGATTGCATAATGTCGCATGCTGCATTATGCTGCATTATGCAATGAAGAGCCAAAAAAATATGCATTCGCACATCTCTATTAGAGATGGGCATTCTGCATTATGTACATTACATTATGCAAAACATAATGTCGCATAATGTAATATAGACATTTTAAAATTTAAAAGTGCACATTTAATGCAACAAAAATTAATAAAATATTATATTTTATATTATATGTAATACTAAGTGATATGTAGCATCACTTAGTGATTTCCTACCTGTATAAACCAGGCTAACTAATATGAGGTTTGAAAAATGCCATAAAATAGTAAACTTTTGTCTAGAGATAAGAAAGATTGGGCATGAATATTACTTCTTGATAATAAAATATTATATTTTATATTATATGTAATACTAAGTGATATGTAGCATCACTTAGTGATTTCCTACCTGTATAAACCAGGCTAACTAATATGAGGTTTGAAAAATGCCATAAAATAGTAAACTTTTGTCTAGAGATAAGAAAGATTGGGCATGAATATTACTTCTTGATTTTGGTAGAATACCATGATTGCATATTAATGTCGCATGCTGCTTTATGCTGCATTATGCAATGCAGAGCCAAAAAAACATGCATTCGCACATCTCTACTCAAGATTATGTAGCATTCAATATTTACATGTTGCTCTTCCCGTGCAATTCGCATGTTTTTGTTGGCAATTTGTACATGTCTTAGCCACGTAAAGTCCTCGTCGTCGTTGACATAAAGACATGATTAATCAATGTATAAAATAATTAAGCATGGAATAAGCAAAAAAAATTTGCTTAAGGAAGGATTCAAAAAGTGCTTATTTATATTTAGTAAAAGATTTATTGTCACTGCCATCGGAATCTGTTCAAACTGTTTAAACAAATGTTGTTAATCAAGCTATTCTTGTGAATTACGTGCTAGCGTTGCCAACCTACTGTAATTAAAAAAAAATCCAAATATGTTTGCATTTTTAATAATTTTTGCATTATTTAAAAATTCGATAGTATTGTGAAATATGCATCACTGCGACTTTTTATAATTGGACCTAAATTAAGAACCCCAAATTACTATTTGATTTTCGTAATAATTAATAATTATTACGTATCAATCACATGACGCTGCTATCAAAATGATCCCCAAATCTAATAAAAATAATATAATTATTACGTCAAACCCATCTCCCCACCTTAAAACTCATCTCCTATTTTTTTAAAGTCGATCTGTTTATGGTATATATTTATTTATTAGAATTTTTAAGTAATTAATAAAATTTAAGATATTCTTCTATTTAAAGTAGCTCCAATGGCTATCATTTCGAAGTTCGAATGTAACATATGTGTAAATTTGTATAAAACAAATAAAGGACTAAAAAGACACCTTGACATTGTTACAAAATACAATGCTTCACGATCTGATCTCAATACTTTGCCTGAAGACACTATACAACAATTTAAAGATATTTTAGTTTACTATATTCACAAACAATTACCAAAGGGATTTAAACAACTAGACAAACAAACAGTGCCGATTCCTGCCACAGAAAGTCAATTCTATGCAATATTTAAAAATTATATATATTATTATTTAGCATCAAAAAGTAAATATAAATGTATATTCCATGGAAGATTATCAAATCAATTGTTAGCAAGTATTTTAAATACGCAAAATTGGGAAATTAAATTTTATGAGCAATAGCAATGCACTTATATTGTGCTTTGTGATGGTAAAGATATTGCTAATGAAGAAAATCCTATAGTACAAGCTATTGCACAACAATCAGCTCATAATAAAAAATTCTATAAGCCAAAATACAAATAAAATCAATTTATAGTAGAATGGAAAAAACAAAAAAGATTGATATTAATAGTAATATTACTTAAGCGGATTATATTTATTTTCATTTTTATATTCAACTTTACTAAAATGCACCAGTGGTGTTCAACACCACATATCAAAACAAAAATTTAAAAAAAGATTAAAATTTAGCTAATATTAGGGTTAGGGTTATTAGCTAGGATTGGGAAATATAGGTTATTATAACCAAAATTTTACAAGGAATTTTTTTTATTAAGACGCAAAAGGTGGTTTCATAAGCAAAATTTTGAGTTATTAAAGATTTTTTAAAAAATTAAAGGATTGTTTTGATTTTTAATGTTACACCTGATCTTGACATTATACCACAGATCAACAATTTTATTGGTTAAAATTACTATAGTGTTGAATACTACTAGTACATTTTAGTAAACTCATTTATATTAGTCAAGCTATAATTTAAATAAATTACATGCAAGGAATTATAATTATTTAAATAAATTATATATAGAAAGTTATATAATTATTTTAAATATATAATTGTTTTTGTTTTTATATAAATCTTTTGTAATCATTGTTGCTCAACTGAAGTAATATTATTATAATAAATTATTCTATTTTATGTTGTAAAATTTCTATAATTGCATTATTATTGTGTATTGTTTTATAAAAAAAATATGATATTTGTTAATGTTTTTTCAATTCTACTACACGAAAATGCTGCTAATCCTCATTTTGATAAATTGTTATAAATTCAGAAATATGATAAACTAGTATATAGATATAAGGTGTCATATTATCAGATTGATATAAGCCTCTTTGAAATCTTTAAGTATTCAGAATTTTTTTAGATGGTAATAAAAATAAGGCAAGCCAATTTTTTGCATAATGCTGAAAGTTTTTACCTTAAGTTTTAAGATTCTTTATTATTTTGTAAAGTTTATAAAATTTGTTTCACAATTCTCTTATAATACTAGTATAATTTTTTGTAAAAATTTTTGATAAATTAAAAAATTTCAATACTTTAAGCTTGTTGTTCCTCATCAATAAAGTATAACTCCAATCTTTAAATATTTGATTTTGCCAGAATTAAAAACTGACTTTAATTCTTTTCATTTTATCTATAATAATTTTTTGTGCAAATATTATTAAATAAATTATATTCAATTAATTTTGCTGTTACAAGGCTCTATAATCGATCAGTGATTCTAAATATTATATGCAATTTATCAAGAACCCAACAATAAAGAGATATCATATTAAATAATAGCATTTTTAAATACCTATTGTAGTAATTAGAATTTTGATTAATGTATCTATATTTTTACAAATTTTTTATTCATGTAATAAATTTCCTTGTTGTAATTTATTAATTGTGTACTATAAACAAAATTTTTGCTATTAGCACTATTGAACCTAAGCAAATTGCTAAGAATTTTGCAGTCAGAGATTTTTCAAACTTGTGTAATGCAGATTATTTTATTTTTTTAGTAAAGATCTACAATTCTGTAGTACAAATTTTGGCAAAATTTTGGCCAAATTATTGACTACGTTGTTACACTTTTGTTATTTAGTGCAAAACCGCCTTATAAAGCCTCGGGGATCCCTAGGGATTCCTAAACTACATAGCCTTAGGATACTTTTTGTAAAAGAAATTTAAAGGATTTTTTAAAACTGATGGTTATTTTTAAATAATAAAAAATACTTTTGTTTTTTCAATTGAAATCGGGTTTAGAATACCTTTCTAATATATTTGCAGATTATTTCCATATTGCGTATAATCCTAGACTGTTTTGAGTCAGATAAAAAATAAATTTAAAAATTCTATTTAATATTATTAACTATTAAATCTTAGTTTTTAAACTGATTAAATTATTATAAAATAAAGCTATTATATTCATTAATATTTTATAATCTTTTGAATCAGAGTAAAGTATAATTGTATAATGATAATTTGGTTGTTGTATTGTATTTTTATCATTCAGAATAGCTATTGTTATTATTGTATATTTTATTTGTCATCCAATATTTCTTTTATCTTTAGATATTTGAAGATTAATAATTAGTTGGTATAACTTTAAGATTCTTTTTTAAACAAAGTTTGAAATTAAATATTGTAAAATATTTTAATACTCCTATAACTACTTTTGCTAATTGTATTAACTACTTCTTATACTATAAACTCATTATTTATATTAGCTTTTTAGTTTAATTTTTTT